CGCCCATATAACAATACTATGGAAACATCGCACCATGGACATACACTTTTGTTCGCTATTGTTCTTTTTCCTTTTAAGAAAATTTTTGTTTCAGAAGCAGCCAAAGAATCGGAACCGTAACAAAAACTGGCACTGAATTTTTGGTAAAATTTAAATTTATGCTTAAAAAAAGGATGTTTCTTAAATGGCTGGGATAAGGGAAACATCAAGATATCTGCAAGTCAGCGGGAGTATTTTTCACACTGAAACGCATTCCTCGTATTAGAAAGTTTACAGCTTTTCTACCATCGCTTCTTGTAATCATCAACGGAGACACCACCGGGACCATAGGCTACAAGAAGCAGCAGGCCACCGATAACGGACATCGTTTGGAAGAAGTCATATTTCATGAAATCGCGATAGAAGCGATCCGATGGCACCGTCCACCAAGCATTCAGATAGAGATTCAGACCGAAAAGCCACACAACGAGTACAAATGCGGAAAGCTGAAAATAATCAACAGCTGATAATATCAGAAAATAAAAATTCTAAAACATTTTAGAGTCAGGAAAGTAATTAAAATAATGTTAAAAGTATTTAGAATAATGCAAAATAATGCCTTAACAGTGGTAATTTTACAGATGACAGATTAGGCAAAAACAAAAAGGTCAATTTGAGTTTAGAAAATTTAAAAGAAAACAGATTTTTGAATAAGAAAGTTTCGGTCCATCAAATCGCACACATTTTTTTCGGTTCTACGACTGGACCTCATCAGTACGACGGCTGTACGGAAAGAGAAAGGAAAGTGCGGAAGAGAAGTTTAAGTAACTGCCGAGCAAATAAAATTGTTACAGCAAAATATCTTAAGATAGTATTTGAAAAAAAAAAACCTTCGTTTTATAGCCGACAAGAACCAGCGACATCAGTGCTCCTCCAACTACCATTTCGATAATTTGCACAAAGTTCCATACGAAATGTACAAGCGACAAAAACATGAATATGAGGAATATGCGGCCTTAAACGAGAAAAATCTCCGTTAAAATTAATCTCTTCCATGCAAATACGTTTCCAGAAAATGAAAAACTAAGCGAACAGCCAAAAG